AAAAAAAATAAAAAAAAATAATGTACGTTCGCAAAATTTTTGTTACGCGCGGGGTATACACGCTCGTATATGCATATTCTCTCCGCGATGTGAAATGTATTTCGTACTATGAACCGCGGTCGGAGAGAGAGTTTGAAAAATATCGTTCTAGGATATGGCTACGTGTGTGTGCGTGAGATAGGACACAAGACGAAATTTTTATTTTTGATAGCCAGCGCTCTGCGGGATTTTCATTCGAGTGGAGATACGCGCGCGCAAAGAGATATAAAAAAAAAAAAAAAAACACGCGCGCGCGCGCGTGTGTAACTTCATATCGCAAAAAGACCCTAATTAAAGTCGGATTTTTGAGACGGCGTTTTCATAAAACTAATAACGGCTACAATTTGTTGATAAAACTTATTTATTTTGTCAAATCAAATATCAATAATTTGTTTCGCTCCGCGATTATATACCACTGCACAATTTTTGATTAATAAAAACACAAAAGGCAATAAACAATTGTTATTTACCCACGCGATATCGGATCGAGGTCTTTCTTTTACCTCGATGTCCAACGTCGTGCTATTGTTCGCATATTTTTCCTTTAATAATTTGCTATACGCGATATCGCGAACGATTCGCGTACGTTTGGCGCGAATTAAAATTTAAGCGTATAATAACGATTATCATAAATTAAAGGTTAAACCCGGCCTGATTAAACCGGGCCTGTTAAATCGGCTGCTGCTGTAATGTCTGTTCCATGCTAATTTCTTATCAGAATCTCAAGCACTTATTCGTACACTTTTTTTTCTTTTTTTTTTTATGTAGATTAAACGTTCGCATTACTGATGACGAAATATATCGAGCGAGCGCAAAAGTTTTGATGGATTTCGCGATAGAAAAATGGGCCGGATAATTTTATTAAAGACGATTTATTCATTCTACTACCAAGTACAACAGCGAAAGTTTGAAAAAAAAAAAAAAAAAAAAAAAAAAAAACAATGGAAATTACGTAGTAAAATGAATATAAATCGTTTTTAATCAAATTACACTTGATCCAGTTTTTCTATTGCGAAATTCATCAAAACTCTTGCGCTCCATCCAATACATCTAATCCGCGACACGGAGATTTATTGACATTATTTTACGAAGACATTTTATGGCGCGTTTAAATGCTGCATTTCGAATGTGACAGACATTTTTTATAAGAAAAGATCCAAATGTAGAAGATACAGATTTGATTCCTGGCTGAGATATTTTTGTTTTTTGTGCAATAGAATTTTAAATTTGTATAAACAGATAAATTACATATATGAGAGTGATTTTTACATATAAAGAGATGCAAATCAAGCATCTTATGTGAATGTTCGAATTAAAAATTTAATTCAAATCTCCATGTGTGTTAATTTACATATTTAAAATATATTTATATATTTCCACGTTTTCATTCTGTGTATTTTGCAACTTTGATATTTTTGGTGGTTGGAACATTTCAAAAACTTTACAATTTGTTGTTATATCCTCACAAAAAAAAGATGCTGTTTAAACAAACACATCACAAACCAGTTCTAATTGAGCGATAATACGATTTTGTTCATTTGTATGCGCACACTTTAAATATTATTATTTCTTTATATATCCGCGGTAGTTTGCACAACGACCGCTATCACACTGCATTTTGATTGTAACGAATCCCGAACTTATAACCGAAGATAAGAAAATAATTTATATATTCCGAGAGTTGTTCTCTCGCGCAATATCTCACCTAAAATCGTATACAATTAAATTAAACTGCGAAAGCCGCGCCACACATTGTGAAATTTGCATTAGGCGGCGAAAAAATATACACCCGGCGCAACCGTGTTACCGTAATTTCGCCCGCGGCGTAATTCTCTTTTTAATATCCGCCGTGCCGGGACGTCATCGAGGTGGAGAGAGAGAACGTTTCACCTTTCTCGTATATTCGAGGATATTTTAGGGGACCTACTCTTACCTTTCTCTCTTTCTCTCTCTCTCTCTCTGTCTCTGTTTCTCTTTTTCTCTCTCTCTCTCTTTCTCCTCACCGTATATACCTCTATTCTCCGTGATACATTAAGGCAAAATGTCGACATTACAGCCACGCGTCGCTCAATATATCATTATACACGGGGTGTGTATAAAGGCCGCGCTCGTCAGGCCGCCGACTCGCGCGACGCCGACTCGTCTGAATCTATTCTGGATTTATTCGACCGCGCGCGCGCGCGCGCGCACGTTTCGGAACATCGTCTCGTCGTCGCGCGGCGTTATTATTCAATCGGCGCAAAATTATTGGCGCAATTAATCGCGCCCCGATTTTAAACGGTTTTTAAATAGTTCGCGCGTCGCGCACCAAGTGTCGTCGTCGCACAGCTTTTGCCGACGGACGGGAGCGTTCCCTCGGCCGCGCGCGATCGATGGAGCGCGAAATATATGTGTTCGCCGACCAACCAACTCTCCGTCGTTGACCGCTGTCGAGAAATTTTTTATGGCTCTATTCCCGATTTTATCGGGAGGTTTTCTTCTTTTTTTATGAACCCCGCACACGCGCGCTCGCTCCGCCTTGCTTTTACGTGAGTCCACACATTCTCAAAGATTCACGGGCGGGTCATGAATCGGCGAAAAGCGAAGAAATATTCGTTGTTTCCTTGAGAAATTTGTATTCCGTCTTAATGATTCACATCGTCACGTTTTCTCTCGCTATATATATGCGTTGCGTTTCTCGTCGTATGGTAAAAAGTTTTTAA